CTAAGCCCTGCCAATATGCAGCAACACCGACGACCCCTACACCCCCCGGACTCGCACCCGTGAACCTGCTTCCTTAGCTTAGCCTGGGACGCCGTAGCTTGCACCGTCGTCCCCGTCTCCAGCGGGGTCCTAGCTCGGCCTCACCGGGGACGACGCTTGTCACTGTGCCTCTCACGTTTCCCACACCTTCGGTCTCGTTTGATTTCGATTGACTCACGCCAACAAAAATTTCAGGCACCTGACGATTAGCAAAACCGAAATATATACAAACTCGACGGTCGCAACAGATGAACCAGCAATACGCGCTCAAGAATACTACTACATCAAAACCGATTGATTTCTCAAAAAGGTACGCTCAAGGTAACACTAAATGTTGATCCGGCCGGGTCGATCTTGTCAATCTAAAGGTGAGGGATCGATCTCATAACTACTACTCATCCGTACATAGGGAAAATTCAATACTAGCTACTTTGTAATACTTATGCTTTAATTAATTCTTGGTGAACCCAAAAGCTCAAGCATTATATATCTTCTCCATTAAAATGATCTATGGACCGGGTTCTACTATATATCAAGAGATAATTGAAGATAAGCGCTTAAAAATATATCGTGATGCAACAAAAGGTCAAGCATTTTTGTTGTTGGCGATTGTTGGTGGTAATTTAGAGAGAGCACTTACTGTGAACAGCCTGTTGCGGCATGAAGTCGGACTTGAGGACGGCGAGGACGAGGAGAGGAAGCAGGAGACACGCGACGGCGGCGGCTCCTCCTCCGCTCACAAGCTTCTTACCGCTCTCGTTCCTCCCGCCCCTTTTCATCTCGCTCGCTCGCTCTTGTGCGTGCGCACGTACCTACTGGCTTGATCACTTGGTAGCTTGCTTGCTCCAGTGAATAATGGTGGGCATACGTACTTCACTGCTAGTAGTAGTATAGCATACTCCTCTTACTTATGGGTATCTCTTGCGAGTGAAGCATACTGTCAAACGCGCATTAATGCGCGAGCTTAGTTTAATCCAAAGGTCTTGAGGTTGACCTTCCAGTACTGTCAGTCACTAACTCCCATGCACACAGCATGTGCATTTGCTCTAATGGTGAACATCGAACAGAGAGCCCTTTGCTAAACTAAGCATACGTACGTCCAGTGTATTCTACTCCCTCTGTCCGGATTTATTAGGCCTCTTAGCATCACAAGCATGCCCTTTTTATAAGGCCTCGCTTTAGAAATATGCATGCATGTAACCATTTCATTGGTTGCATTGAAAGTCATTGTTGTTGGTGACATGGCTAGGCAATTAATACACTTCATGCATGATTTTTCATTGGCTGCATGCACGTGAGAGAGTGCATTGGGAGTGGAATGAAAGAATTAATGTGACCAAATTACTATGTGTCTTGGTCTAAGAGAAGTTGTATTTAGGCCTAATAAACCCGGACGGAGGAAGTATTCATCATCATACTCCTTCCTTGTAGGCAGAGCGCCATGGATATCAACTACCCGCAAAGAAAAAAAAAGCGTTGATATCAACTGTGGCAGCACCATCTCCAGATCCAGATCGTGCTGGCCCTGGTGCATTCACTTGTTATAGTGATCTTTATATGGGAGTAGTATCTTTTAAACAGTATGGTGATCCACAATGGAAGATCCCCGTACCAAATTCAAGTAAAATTTTATTTGTTTCCGTTCCCATGTGATATCATCGAATAATATAGACGAATGGTTGGTTGGCTTGCCATTTCAACTATATTGGAGATTTTGTCATTCAAGTTTTGGAGAAGGATGCAAGGGGCGGACAGGGTCCGGTCCCTGACCGAGCCATCCTTTGGACCAGGCCAGAACGCCCAGCCGAACGGTCTGGATTTTAGGGACCGGATCGGTGGCGGTTCAGACCAGGCTAGACCGGGTGGCTCGCTTGGATTTTGCCACCGTGCGAGCCGTAGTGCCGCCACTAGTAGAGCTCCCAATGCTGACTGTGCGTGCGTGTGCAGCTCGCAATTGGACATTGTTGGGAGAGGCGCAGAGGCATGCAGGAGGGAGGCCACACCCTCTTGAGTGGTGTGGGTGGCTGGGGTCGACGTCAAGGTCAAGATCGGTGGCGGTGCACGCACAACAGCCACCGCGCACACGGGCAGCAAGAATCAACAGAGCACGGAAAGGAGAGGAAGGAGAGGGGAAACAACCACATGCTCACCATGAGCATGCTGAAGAGGTCAGCGAGGCCGGGGAGGCGGGGACGATGGTCGATGATGGTCATGCTCAGAGAAGGCAGGATGTGTGCGTTGTCTCTATGGTATTCTAGACCAATTCAGTGCGCGGGGAGGACGATGGCGATGCGGCGGTGCTCAGGGACATGGTGGTTCACCCAGGAGCTGCCGATGGCCACGACGACGAGGAACGGCGGCGGTTACTGTGTTTTCGCCCTGCAGCTTCGGCCCAACTTGGTCGGACCGGACCAGTGGGCCTTGTGTAAGAACCGGACTGGTCATTTTCTTTCGTGAACCATTTGGTCTGGTCTAGAGCGGGCACGAACGGGCTGAATAGCCCGCTCGCTCTGTCCAGACTTAGTCTGATCCTCGGTGGCCTTTTTTCCCACCATCTTACAGTCAATCTCAAAATGGGGTGCTCCCACGCGTCCTCTTCGATGGGCCGGCCCGTCAGACTGACGTGGTCACTCATAGCACGCAGCCGCCCAGCTTCATTCGATCGGGTCAACGTCATCCCGTTAACCATTAACTTTTCGAAAAAAGTAAAATGTAAGGAAACTGAAAAAAGTTCACCCATTCAATAAATGTTCATCAATTTCAAAAAAAGTTCACAAATTGAAAAAAAATCATAAATTTTGAAAAAAGTTAATGTGTTCCAAAAAATCTTATCGATTTCAAGAAAATGTCCAAAATTTCAAAAATAGTTCATTGATTTGAAAAAATTTCATCAAATTTAAAAAAAGTGCATCGAATTATAAAATAGTTCATCAAACTGAAAAATTCTATCAATTTGGAAAACAAATCACCGAATTTGAAAAGAAGTTCATCAAATTTAAAAAATATCATTAGATTTTGGATAAAAGTTTCATCAAATTAGAAAAAAGCTCATGGAATTTCAAAAAAAGTTCATAAATGTCAAAAAAGTTCACCGATTTGAAGAAAATGTTCGGAAATTTAAAAACAATCATCAATTTGAAAATGTTCATTAGACTTTGGAAAAAGGTTCATCAAAATTGAAAGAAAAAGCCCCAAAACCTTTAAAAAAAGGTATAGCTGCAGCATCATTCGACAGAAAAATCTGTTGAATTATTTGCTCATCCCAGCATGCATTTAAAGGATCAAGTAGCTCGGCCACCATCAGTGGTGGGTTCTGAATAAGAGATACATTGGGTCGCATATTTTCAGGCCTTGGGATCCCGTTCATGCCCGAAATACTTGTGGAGTAACCATTGCCAATTCTCCTGACAAGACCTTGTTGAGCACATCACAGCCCTCTATTATCGATCTCCAGATTTGTGAGGGGTGTTTTCCCAGTTCAGCATTGAGAAAATCTGAGTTCGGATAGTGAACTCCCTTCAATATCCTCACACTTAGAGATTCAGGTTGCTCCAGAATTCTCCACGCTTGCCACGCCAAGAGAGCCAAGTTGAAAATCTCGAAATCCCGGAAACCCAAACCTCCCATGTACTTCGGCATGCTCATCGTATCCCAAGACACCCAATAGGGTTTCCTCTTACCTCTCTTGCTGCCCCACCAGAAAGCCTTGATCATTGAAGTTAAGCTCTCACACAATCCCCTAGGGAGTTTAAAGCACGCCATCGAGTAGACCGGAATTGATTGGGCAATGGATTTAATCAGAACCTCTTTACCTACTGTAGATAAAACTTTCTCCATCCACCCTTGTATTTTTGCCCATAGACGATCCTTTAGGTACTTGAAAGCACCATTTTTTGAAGTTCCTACATCTGACGGCATACCCAAGTACTTCTCATTTAATTGCTCGTTTGGTACATTAAGGATAACTTTAACAGATGCTCTCAAACTTTCTGGACAACCTTTACTAAAGAAGATTGAGGATTTATCATTGGTGATCCTTTGTCCTGAAGCATTTGCATAAACATCCAATAATTGGGAAACTTCATCCGCCCCCTCCGTTGATGCTTTAAAAAACAGCAGGTTGTCATCAGCAAACAACAAATGGTTCACTCGTGGTGCGGATGTGGCCACCTGTATGCCACCAAGGCTAGATGACTGAACTCTGATTTCAAGAGGCATGAAAGGCCCTCTGCTGCCAGCAAAAACAACTAGGGTGAGATAGGATCCCCCTGACGAATACCCCGTGTTTGATCAAAACTATCAAGCCGTTGTCCATTGAACAAAACCGAGAAAGATACTGAGGTGACCATACTCAACTGATCATGCTACAATAGAAGCTTTGGCGTGTCAGGAAGCTCAAGCGTTGGCGAGGGATTTGAATTTGCAACATATTCTGGTTGCTTCAGATTGCAAGCAAGTCATATCACATATCAAGCAAGGGATTGGAGGCAATTATGGGAGTATTATCAGAGAGCTGACTGAAACTGCGAGAGTTTTCACGGACTGTAATTTTATGTTTGAGCCTAGATCTTCAAACTTTGAAGCTCATTGGTTAGCTAGGTATGGTATTACTCTCCCGCTGGGGAAAAACATATGGTTGGGGCATCCTCATGATGCTGATATTATCCATGTAAACATTCTAACCATGCAATAAAGACCTGGCTATCCTTTCTCAAAAAAAAGTAGAGTAGGAATAGTCAATTTCTTGAACAAAACAATTTAATAAAAAAATTAGAGAAGGTTGACAATTACGAAAATAATATTTTAACCCAGGTAAAATTATTTCTACCATAGAATAAATTCTTGTTGTGCACACAACTAGTTTAAATGCTCTATGGACTCAATTACTTTAATCCATTGTTTTAAATAGCGGGCTATGGAAAATAGCGGTGGGCCTCCAAATCAGCTATAGTGGAGCTATAGCCGGCTATAGCAGGCTATAGTGGGCTATTTGTGAAGGCGACCATTTAGTGACACCCTGCTGAAAAAGCTATAGCGGGAGCTATAGCTGGCTATTTAAAACTATGCTTTAATCTAAAAATTAAATTTAGATTTTGCAATTTCAGAAAATGATAACTCTGCCATATTAAATATTTCCATTTTTTTTGGAGAAGTCACAGTATCTCCTCTCATTAAATTTTGGAAATATTTAAATGGCATTAAAACTTCAAATAAGACCCAATTTCAAATGGAACTCCAAAATTCAAAGAACTTCAAATGAATTTTTCATCTTCCACACTTGAGAAAGTCATTTTATTCTCACTCCATAATATTGAATATTGTCTCAAATAATCCATAGGAGTCGTCTAAGAGAGAAGAAATCCAAACTCGAAATGTTTGAAACAAGATTCAAAAATGGTTTTAATTTCTGTGAAAATAACAATTTACTCAATACACTCCTCCATCTGCTGCAAGTGCTGCTACCGAGCGGGAGCTGCTGGAATTGGCTACGAAGCAATGGTGCATCATCCGTGAATCAGGCGTTGTGTGATGCCGTCAGCACGTGCTGCAAGATGTCGGAATCGACTGCAGAAGCGACACTGCATCGGCTACTTTTTTTGTGTTAGAAACAACTATGAGAGATGTTGCCTCCATGGGTACCGTGTGCTGGAACCTGCATGTGAGGAAGGTAGAATGAAGAGGGCTTCAGCGGATGCATTTGCTAGAACCGGCCACCACATTTGCTGGAACCAACGATCAAGTGCTACGAGGAATGTTGCAACCCGCCATGATGAATGTT